TAATAGCTGTGATATACAGTGTAGTTACTCCAATGCTCAACCCAATGATCTACACATTGAGGAATCAAGATATGAAAACTGCATTGAAAAGAATAATCCTCAGAATGCAGATCAGTAAGAAAGAGTTTGAAGTATCTAAGGAATTCCATCTGTGAAAATATCTGCTCGAAAGGAAAAAAAAAATATTTTGGAGATAAACTGAGTTTATCCAATTGAACTATTTCTAACCCATGATACCTTCCTTCCTTCCTTCCTTCCTTCCTTCCTTCCTTCCTTTTTATTGCAGTCACTTAACAACATCCACTCCTGGAAATATTGAATGACACCTGTATTTGCATATTTTCATTTCCCTCACTGTCTTCTTTGATGGTTCCCCATATAAACCATATACCTTGTCCAATGCCAGGAATGCTTTAAAGAGAAATCAATATGATTTCAAGCTTAGGAACAAGATGGATAAAATAGATCTGAAGAATTCTTTAACAGGAGATGGAGACTTTCAGCAGCATAGTCACAGTATGATATGATATATGTTTCTTAATGTGAGGCTGTCTGTATTTCATGGGCATAGAAACCCGAAAAATTAACCCCTGAATTGATAATATTTGAATGAAATTCCTAGGACCTGTGTTCCCAACATTTCTGGAGAGGAACATTTTGGGGAAGGGTAATATACAGTAAATTTGCACACTTAGCTGTCACTTCAATTCATCAGGCCTGCTTGCTTTCCAAAAGAATAAAGATCACTTATTAAATCTTTGAAAATGCAAAGTATAGAGGAAAGCTTTTCAGCCAGCATAGCTTCAGCTTCAGTTTGCCTTACATTATCTATAACCCCATTGATAATTAATGGATTTGAGCAAATCATTGAATTTTGAAAAACTATGCTTTGGAGACAGTTATTAAACAGACCATATGGGGTTTGAGTCTTGAATTACGATTACCTGAAAACACAGTGACTTCATGACTTTACACTAACTACATACAATCATCTGAATTCAACTCTATACTCCTGATGTAATTATTTAATATTTGTCTATCATTCATCATCATTTCATTTGAACTGTTTAAAGTTTGCATTACATTTATAAAAGTTTTTATACAAAACACTTAAGGTTTAAAGGTTGTGGAAATAATTGATGTCTTTATTATGGTGGCAATCTCGGTGAAAACAGTGTTTGTACATGCACAGGTATGCACTGATGACATGGGAGTTCATTGTAGTGCTCCTACTGGCCTTCAAGAAGACATGGTCCATTGATTCTTCCAGTAGTGGGTTCAGAGGGACAATTCTGTTACTTCAGAAGGTCCCTCTTCAGTGGTCTGCACAGATATAATATGGAGACCAGCCTTAATTTCTACTATTATTATTCAGTAAGTGCCAGTTCTTCTTTCTTAATCTTTGACCTTCAACATATAAGCCACTGACTCTGAAAATTAAAAGATGGAGGAAAGTATACAATAATTTGTATATTTGGCAACATACCACTAGAATTATTTTTACTGAGATCTGTTAAACTGGGAAAACATCTAAGAGTTGCCATGAAAGGGGAGAAGTTAACTTGTGCATACATTAGAATTTCTTTACTAATTTAGGACTTTTTATTGTATTTTAAATGCACTGTGTAAATTGCCTTGAGAAATTGTAATAAAGAAATAAAATTGCAACTCAATAATAAGTAATTTAAAGGAATAGAATGATGACACAATATTATATCATCACTTTTGCTTTCTCCTACATATTTTCAACATTTTTTTCAACCTGATATTTATCAATGTTGACAAATTCTTGTAAGAAATGAACTAAACAAAACTCTCAGTTTTCTGTATGGGAAGTAATAGCTGCATTGTTGTTATTATTATTATTAAATTTAACAAGATAATGATGATGATGATGATGATGATGATGATGATGATGATGATGATGATATAGAGGAAATTAATAAGTAATATGATTAAAAAGTACAAAACTGAAAAACACACCAATTTTATATTAATATAAATCTATCAACCTTCCATTTATTATTAAGTCAAGAGCATATAGAAACATAATAAAGTAATACTGTAGTTGTTGAGACTGAGACAATCACATGGGGAAAGGCAAGCACTTTTCAATACTGTAACAGATAAGATTCTTATATGTATATATAAGGTTCAGTTTTAATATGAAGCAATAGCAAACCAAATATACAAGCTCATTGCTATATGAGATCTTATCAGTATTGATTTCAAATGTAGGTAAATGAAAGAGAGAGAGAGACAGATCGTGATGCTTTATAACATTTCAAATGCTCAGGGCAAAATATAGGTGCTGGTATTACAGAAACATCATTGTCCTCAGAATTCTGACAAGCACACTTCATTAGATTCTAGTAGTGAGCCAATATGACTATCATGTGGAGATTTTCCATCTTCTTGGGTTTTCCTTTTTTAGTAGTGTTTTAATTCTGGATGTATTATGTGTTTTATATATATTTATAGTTTT